TTGACAAATACGCACTTTTTAAATACTTTTTAAATAATTTTATAAAGGCAAGCAATGAAATAGATTAGCGTAATTAGGGCACCTGATGATGGCACTATGTTGCCGAAACATGTCGTGAAGTATCAGGTGAAATTGAGTGCACTACAAGACGGCAACTGTATACATATCATGGATTCCGAAATATGTTTTGAAATTGAATGAAATGAACTCATAGCACATGCAAGTGAAATGTGTCGGGTTATAATGCAGCTTTACTTCCAAATTCCTATTCGGATTGTTACCTGAGATTACTGATTTCTAAACCGTGTTCCATGAATCTTTGGGTTTCCACATCCGTTTGCTTGGGATTCCATGAATAAATCTGTGCAGTAGCAGACAGAAAGTTGTAAAGATATGGGCTCGATTTAACTCACTTGTGGTCCACTTCTATGCTGAAAATTTTGCAACATTTATTTAGAAATCTTTGATTTCATATTTGTATTTTGAAAAGACAAAATACCATGACTAGGTTAAACAGATGGTTTGAAAGGAGAGATTATGAAGACCTCAAAAGTAAGATATTTTTTACCACAATCTATTTTTTGTTGTTTTGTGTGTCCTTTAAGTTGTAGGAACTGTGTAGTGGTGGTTTTGTCTTCTCTGAGTACACCCATATGAATAATGATTTTTGGTTGGCAGTGCACCAAGTGCAGTGTATGGTGAGTCGTTGGCTAGAGACAGTACTCCAGTGATGTCTGTTGTATTATGAGCAGTTAGCAACCTGGTGTACAGATTTCCACCATCAGTAATGTAATGGTTGTACTGCTGCTTACATTATTGTATGTGTTAACAAAACACAGGACCAGTAGGTGTAGCTGCTGCTGCTGCTATTGTCTCTGCCAAAAAAAGGAAACGCCCTCACTCATTTGAGACTAACCCGTCCATTAGGAAACGTCAACAGAACAGGCTGCTTAGGAAATTAAGAGTAAGTACATCAGAGTGTTTTAATAAATTACTGCTTGAAGAACCTGTTTTGTACTTTTCATTTATGTGTTTTTGTGTTCTATAACAGGAAGTATTTATTTCTCACTGTCATGGTTGTATTAAGAATGTATGGTAAGTTAATTTCTTATTTCTTATATAATGGCTGTGTGAGGAAGTTCCCAGACTAGGTCACTCAAGTACTCAATTTTGGCTGCCATCTTTTTCAAAATAGTCTCCATGGAAATGTATACAGCAATCCCTTTGTTTTTTTCCATGCTTCAAAAGCACTGTGGAGGTCATTTTCCTTAATGCTCTCGAGTACCACTTGTGATTCCCTCTAGATGTCAGACGCTTTCAAAACGTTCCTTAAGTTTCATTTTCAGTTTGGGAAACAAAGCGAAATCACAGGGGGCTAAGTCTGGCGAGTAGGGAGGATGGGGAACAGTAACCATGTTGTAAGATTTGAGGTTTTCACAGCGATGACTATGAGGAATGCCATGTTCTGGGATGTGGCACCAACTCTGTGGTTTTTAGGGATGTGTGGGTGGGTACGTCGTGATGAAGGGGCAATGCGGCACATGTTCAAATTTTCTGTTAAGATCTCCTGGCAAACTCCATAACTGATCTCAGTGGTGTCTGCAAGTACACGGATTGTTCGATGATGGTCTTCATTGATGAGTTCTCAAATCTTTTCAACATTCTGTTGTTTTACTTGTGCATGGTCACTGTGAACATTAGTCATCTTCAGCTGACACTTGACCAGCCTTGAAACGTGAATGCCATTCAAAAACCGCTGTCCATCTTAAAGAACGTTCTCCAAAAGCCTAACAAAGCATTTCAAGGGTTTCGCACAAAACTTGATGCAGACACATTGCTAGATTTTGCCATCTATCGCAGACAAAAGGAAACATGAAGTCAAAAAGCACTCATATAAAAACAGTGGGTGTTCACAGCGTGATGTCAGATTGCAGACTGATGCAGTAGGCTTCCAGAAGTGTAACCTTGTCCTCCCCTCTCATATTATTTCACCACAGTTAGAACAATAATAGTCCGGACACTTTCCGATACCATCTCATAGTATACAGTTTCATATTGTGGTATGTTCACTGATTAACCAAAGATGAATGTCTCCAGCCAAGAATATATGAGCGTATGTCCATGACAGCCAATATGAGTCAGGATAGCACTGTTGATATAGCGTCTGGCTATGGGCTGGATGGCCGAGGGATTGGAGTTCCGAGTCCCTATAGGGAAAGATTTTTCTCCTCACCTCATTGTCCACACCGGTTCTGGAGCCTACCCAGCTTCCTGTCCGGTGGGTACCAGAGGTTCTTTCCCTGGGGTGTGAAGCTGACCACTCACCCCCATCTAGTGCTGAGGTCAAGAATACATCCACTTCCCCATACATCACAAAATTAGTTAAGAACAGGGAAAACTTTGCTTTACTTACCCCCATGACAACCAGTGGAGAACCAGAGAATGTATTTGCCTCACTTTCATTTATTGCCTGTTCATTTGTGTGTTAAAAAGTAAAATAATTATATTGTGTAGTATGTAGATGTGTTATTTCTTATATAATTTTTCCTTGGTGTCATGTCTGTGTGTGAGCCAGCTAATAACTTCCGAACCAAGTGGCATATTTTAAATTTGATGTGAATATCATGTTAGACCTCATCCTACCTTTTTACTTTACTTTCTGCTACCAAAATGACAGCCATGAACACAGATGGAGGTGAGAGTAGCACTACTTATTATTGGACCCTCAAATGTTGTATGGCGATTGCAGATTCTGAATGAAATAGCTTTGAAATTATATTGGGCACTCTGACATAGCCAGGAGGTACGTTAGTGGAAATTATGCGTAGAAGTGGATCACTGCTTTCTATACTTGTTAATTTATAGTTTATGATATCATTACCACATAATTAGTGCATTTGGTGGAAAGCAGGTAATGTTGGATCTTCCCAGAACTTCTGGTTTTGTTAATAAATTAAGGAAATCTGGTAATTTTAGATGCAATTAAGGTGTATTTTTTCAGCTCATTGAAATAATGTTCTGTAAGTTAACATGACTCACTTCTCTGTTTTTAGCAAACAATTGATGAATTTGCAACTCGGGTCGGGCAGCAGGCTGTAGTTGTTGTGGCAACACCAGGGAAACTACAGAACAGTTTCAAAGTTTTTGGTGCAAAACCTCTGGAAGATGTGGTAAGATTATTTTTTTAAATAATGCACCACTGATGTTTCGTGAATGAGATTTATGGGACATGTAGGATGCATGAGAAAAATGGAAAAGGCTTCCAAAATTTTTGCCAGAAAACTCAAGAAGTGAACACTTGGGATAAGTAGCTGTGGATTCGACCATAATTATTAGAGTAATAGGGCATGGGAATTTGGACAGGAATCAGTTTGCTGAGGATAAGGTTCAGTGGCAGGCTTTTGTAATGATGGTAATGAAATTTTTAAGTTCCATAAATCCTTTATAATTAAGGAAAGAAAATCAGTGTCTAATTTTAGAGTGAGAAATCACAGGCAATTCTAATTTAATGTTAAGCAATAATAAGTAAAGTTGTCCCTGTGCTTAACTAATTAAGCCCTGCGCCATGAAGATGTATGTGAGACTGAGTATATAGACCCACATCTTCTTGACATCAACACTAGTTGTAGGTGAGTGGACGTTAAGCAATAATATGCGCCCCAAATACCACTAAGATGGTAATGATGATAGTTGGAATTATTGTCTTCTGCAGCAGAAAAGCAGAAGTAAAATAAAAATTGAGCACACTGAAGTTTACAGTTCTCTGTTTTGTAAAGGTGAAAAATATCCGCTCAGTGATAATGGAAGAACTGGAAAATGCCTTGGCACAACAAGCACCCCCACCGGTTCAGGATGATCCATCACTATATGAGTTGCCACCTCTTATCATCGATGGCATACCGACGCCAGTAGAGAAGATGACCCAGGCCCAACTCAGAGCCTTTATACCATTAATGCTCAAGTATTCAACGGGGAGAGGAAAGCCTGGATGGGGACGGGAATCCACCCGACCACCATGGTGGCCAAAAGAATTACCATGGGCAAATGTAAGAATGGATGCTCGCTCTGAAGAGGAGAAGCAGAAGGTAATTAATATTCTATAGGCATTAGTGTGTTTTAAAAATTTCATAGAGCTTGTAAGATACGAAGTTTTCACGGTGGTGACTATGAAGAATGCCATCCTTCTGGGATGTTGCGCCACATAGCTCTTGTGTGAACCGGCGTTTCAGGGGAATGTATCGCCTCCGTCTTCAGGGTAGAAAAATCTGTGAGCGAGGAACCAGTGTGAGTAGGTGGCTGCAGAGCTTGAATGTGCCCTCATTGGGCTGTTTGTCTGCAATTCCAGCCTGATGTGCCCAGTAATCTATTCGGAAGTCATCTTTTTTTTCCTTGTTCCAGTGCGTTTATGTCTGATCATTCATTTTGGAGTCTTCTCTCTTTTGCGCCAATGTATTTTCAACAATAATGGTAAAACATTTGGGTTTTGCTTCATGTAATGAAGTGATGAACATGGTAACTAAATATTCATGAGACTGAAGTTTAATTAATATTTTACGTTTTTCTGCGTTATATAGACAAAGTATGGTGTAAACACTTGTAATTGATCTTGAATGCTTATGAAGCTTTTTCTGTGAATTCTCGAATCCAGAATGTAAATTTACTGTTACATTTTTATTGTTGTAGCTCAGTTCTGTCACAACTATTTCGCTTTCAGTTACACTTACATTAATTGGTAGTCACTAATTTTCCCCAAAAAGTCTTTCAGATGTAGTGTTTAGCCTTTGCATTTTGTTGTGTTGAAAGTCACTGCTGTTCATCAGCCCAACACACTACAGTCATGGGTAATGTCTCAGTAATTTCACTAAAATCATGACATGTTTTGATCAATTAATGGTTATTTATAAGTACCTGTGAAAAGGGCCACCTTATGGCGATAATTAGTTGATCAAACATGTTGTGGCTTTAGTAAACTAAACAGCTAATAGTTATTGAGGCGCTGTCTGTGAATGTTGTGTGGACAATTGATGAACAGTAAAATTTCAGATGTAGACTTCACTATAACTGAAATTAACTTAGACTAGAATATACATTAGCTTGTACCAAATGTCCAGGCTGATTGGACATGGATTTTAATGTTGGCAACTTCTTACAAAAGTGCTGTTCCTCTTGCTGAGAAAAATGCCGCTGTGCAGCCGAAACTGCTAGCACACATTGCTTACTTCTTTCGTTAATTATGAATCAAACATAGTAAGTAATAATACACTCACCATCATAGAAGATGTTCAAAATGTCTGCTCTCTGCTGTGAGACATGTCAGAATTCTTTTAAACAGATTTGTGGGAAACTTGTCACAATTCACATTGCTGAATGTTGTAAATTCCTACATGAATATTCTGTGTTAGAGCCCCAAGGTCATATGGATTGTTGGCATGCACAACACCTTTGAGTTTTCCCCACAAATAAAAATCACAGGAGTTTATATCTGGGGATCTAGGGGGCCACAAACCCTTGCTAATAATTCTGTCCTCCCTATTTAGTTACCCAAACACACTGGGTAATGCTCTGATAGTTTTGTTAGCTGCATTTGGAGTCATGCCCTCTTGCATAAAATAACCGAATCTTTCTTCTGCAGGTGACAAATTAACGAAAAATGGATCGAGTATTTCATTAATATATCGCTGAGCCTCAAGAGTTCCTTCGTAAAATATCAGTCCAGTGATATGGTTTGTGCTAATCACGCACCATATGCCTATATTTTGCTCTTAAAGCGGAAGTTGAATTAGGGCATGAGCATTTTCACTACTCAAATATGTGTTGTTTTGCGAGTTAGCTTATACCAAGAGATTAAAATCAGCCTCACATTTGAAAAATGTCAGCCTAGGATCAATAAGTCCGTCATGCACATGATTGATAAACCAATTACAAAATCTCAGTAATGTTATATGGACGAATATGCAGCAGTTCAGTTGCTTTCCATGCACTGCCTACAGAAACACTACTTTGTTGTGCTAGTCACTGCAAAGATTTTTGAAGAGAATGTCATCAAGTTTTTGCTCAATTAAAACACAATTTTTTAACGGCTTTCTATCAGTTAAAATACCATGAGTTCGAACTTTCTTCACTAATTTGGAAATTGTATTTCTAGATGGACATGTTTCAGGAAATTTATCTTAAAATTTTCTCCTGCACGATTTGTATTGAGTTTTTTTTTTTACATAACAATCATAAATTAAAACTCTTTGTTCTGAATTATATCTCACACGAGCCATAGAGACACAGAACAGCGAACTATGCAAAGAAACTTGTGTAACACTCGCTCACTGATCAGATGATTACCGAATGAATGGCCTTAAATTTTTGGCATCTGCATGCATGTCTGGTAAGCCTCCACAATGAACATGGGGTACTTCAAGGACTGTCTCACTTCATTATGTACTTAATTCTGATAATACTCCAAGATATATCCTTTATAGGGTTTCCACTGTTTAACGAAACTGTTTTTTGGAAAATATTCTGTTTAATAGGACTGTACATTAGTGTGCTTGGCAATGAATATTTATATGTGAGATTCAGTGCCGTAACTTGCAGATCTCGTGGACTCATGCACTCCGACAAATTGTTATAAACTGCTACAAGTACCACGGGAGAGAAGATCTGCTCCCAGCTTTCAGTGAAGAAGACGAGAAAGCGAACGCAGCAGCTGCCGCAAACGCAGGAGTGACGGGAGGAAGTGGTGGAACAGGGACTGCGGGAGGTGGAAGTGGCGGGGGAGGATCCAGCGGAAGCGGTAGTGGATGCAGCAATAGCACGGTGGGCACGGTGCTAAAATTACACAGCCACAAACTTCAGACCGTGACACATGGCCCAGGTGCAGGTGGCAGTGGGGGGGCAGGAGGCAGTATCGCCACCGCACAACTTTCCACCACCTCTCCCATTACTGCCACTACGGCACAGGTTTGCCGATATATGATGGAACATTGTTTTATTATTATTATTTTGTATATTTTTATATTTTTTTTTACAAATCAATGGCAGTTATTTGAATGGTGGTGATATACAACAGCAGTTCACTGTCACTGAATTGAGTGTCTTGTGTTCTGTCCCATACCTTCCTTTAATTCCAGTCAGAAGCACTAGAAACACTGTCATATTACACTCGTTCAGAAGCGTCCAATTTCTTTTCTTTTGGAGTGCAGTTGGCACAGAAATAACATATCTGGCACGTGTATTCAGGAGGCGCAGGATTCTGATCTTGTCCAGTGAACCAACTATCCAGATAATTAGGACATACCTGCCAGTTTATCTTACATAATTACAGCATAACCTCTGTAGTTGACATTGTGTAATTGAATTAATTAAGTATCTGAATAAATTAGTAATCTTCTAGTATAACTTTGTCACCAGTAGTCGTTTGGGGGTTGGATGAAAGAATACAAATGATTTCAAGTGGATAATGCTGTTTTATTTCTACCACCAGTGTTCTGTTATTTTCTGTTGTGGCTGTGTGTAATGTGATGTGTTGTGGTGGTGTAATTATGTTTTTTTTTTGTAAACAATTTGAAAATACTATTTATTCCTCATCTAGATTATTCTAGAATTCCACTAAGAAAATCAAATAGATCCTTCTCACATTTTTATATATGAATTGTTGATATGATTGTTTCCCTCATATTGAATCTTGAGTAAATTTCTTTGTTGGAGGATATTAGTGCCCAACCTGTTGTTACTCTGCAGAAATTACCTGTCTCTTTAAATAATTCAGTGCTGCAAGCAAGATATCTGTGCCCAAGGAAAGAGGAAGAGATTGTTAGTATCAGATGTCTTTCACTTTGCTTTCTTAATGTGTCAGTATGTGAATTACATGCAGTACAAAACTAAACTGAAAACATTGGCCAGATCAGATCATGGCAGACCCAGCAGAAACTGTCCATTTGGCTCATTGCATTCATTGTCAGGGAAACAGTTTGCTTGTTTTTACTGTATTCCAAATATGACAGATCTCACATTAAAAGTCAGAGTGATAATATGCATTAAATTGATATATGAAACTTTGTACATGTGTGAGAAATATACAAATGAAGCTTAAGGGACAATATTACTGCTGACACCTGAATTTACTGCAAATTAAACATTACTGGCTTCTTGGATTTTGACACTGTGTAGTCTTGTGGGAAGGTACCGACAGTTTGGATGAACCTGTTGCCTCCACATTCAAGGTAGAAGAATAAAGCAAAAAAAAAAAGAGAGAGAGAGAGAAAGGAAAAATGGTAAAGCTTTCCCTGTAACAGGCTGTGGAGGCCCATAGGGTTGTGAGACGTCAAGGCTCTCAGTTTTCTAGCCAGTCGGCTCACAGATGGCGGTGAGGTTGTCAGCCTTACACGCCACCTGCCCTTTACTGCCAGGGAGATCTCTGGTACTCATTTCTGTTAGAGGCTGAATCGACCCCAGGGCCATAGTGCAGCTGGAAGGATTAGGTCAGTTGAAAGATCCAGTGACCTCATCAGGAATCGGACCTGCAACCTTCTGGCTTGTAAAGTGATTGGGAGAAGGAGGGTACAGATATGCAGGAAAGAAAGTAAAAAATAGGGCTGTGAGCAGGCTAGTGGGAGACATTGGCCCCTGAAAGGATGTGGCCCAAACAAGCGAGAGGAACAGAGGTGAAGAAAAATGATTTGGGAGGAGAAGAGTGGGCTGTAATTACTCTTCTACCTTGAAGAATGTGATGATTCAAGTACAGATTGGTTCTGCAGTAATTTTCAGTCCCAAAACATTGCCTCCCATCTTTAAGTTGCTCATATTTTCATGTGAATGTGTGATAATTGTAGATCCATTTGGTTCAGGATAGATACCAGTGGCAGGCTCTTGTGAAAATGGTAATGAACCTTGTGGTATCATAAAACGTTGAGTTCCTTGAGTGGCTGCATGACTGTTAGCTTCTCAAGGATGACTTTGCAATTAATATGGTACTTAAAAAAGTATCTAAAGATCCAACAGTTTTGTTTTTGCAATACTTCCTTTTTCCTGTCAGAAGTAATGTGAGTTTTAACGATAGAGGAATCTTGTAGGCGTAGGTTACCATCAGAAGGGAGCCATCTTTTCTTTGGAAAATATTTGCTTTTATTAGGGGTGCACACTCCATACATACATGGAGATAGCTTTGACTGTGATGTGATAGGCAGTTCTTGTGGCATGCTTCAATATTGTTGTACAGGTAACTTGCTTGTTGTGCCTGATGTCTTAAAATTGTTACTACATTATCAAATGAGTCCCTGCTCTTCTGTATTATAAGCTGGTAATACAGTTAATATATTTAAATGTGTAAAGGAAAATGAGCACATGAGGGAATAAGGAAGGATTGCCATGGTAATGGAAAGAGCTAATTATAAGAAATGGTGCAGTAATGTTACACACACTTTCTCATACAGAGGACATACCATTATTTTCGTGAAGATCAAACTGTGCAGTTTTATTTAGAAAGATGGTCTCCATAAATGATTAAAATTTGATCAAAATCACATTTTTTCAAGAAAAGTGTGAGTGCATATTTACTTTTATAAAGGGCTCCAGTTTTTGGAGCTTGAATGCTTATATCCATAGTGCACTAACGCTCTGCAGTATCGATTATGAATAAAATCTGCCCAGTCATTCAGGCATTAGCAACGTGCACATGCAGACAGACAGCATACCAGAAAGCACTATTTTTGTTAGGGGTGCTGAAAACATGTAGGTGTGTCAGAATGTTGATAAGTTTTTTTTTTCTGCATAGTCACACTAGTTCTCATATACGAGTATACTACACACATGAGAAAGTAAAGAAGGGTTTAGAACTAACTACAGCAGTTATTGAAAATATCGCTTATCAACTACGTGTGTACAAAATTTTGTACCAATATTCATCTTAACTCCATATATACACAGACAATTGTTGGGGATAATCCGTGTGGATTGAAATGTAACAGATCAGCCACTGAACAGATATTCTGTATTTATCAGAAGCAGTAATGGGAGTAGAATAGGACAGTACATGAGCTATAGCCTTCAAGGGAGTCGATAATTTGGTTTGAAAAATATTATACAACATTTTCATAGAATTTTATATGCCTGTGAAACTAGTCAGGTTAATTAAAATGTTTTTAAACAAGACCTGTAGTAAAATTTATATGGGTATTCATTTGACTAATGTATTTCCTATTTAGAATGGTCTGAAACAAGGAGATTCTCTGTAGTGGCTACGGGTAAACATTTGACTAATGTATTTTTTATTTAGAATGGTCTGAAACAAGGAGATTCTCTGTAGTGGTTTCTTTTAAACTTTGCTTTAGGATATGCTGTCAGAAATGTTCAAAAAACCAGGAGGGACTGGAATTGAATGAGACACATTAGTTTTGTCTGTCACACTAAGGGAAAAACGTAGATGGCGGGGGCATGAGTACAGGATGCTGAAAGGAATATTTGGACCTAGGGGGTAGGATGTGGGAAGAAGATGGAGAAATTGAATTTCTGGTGTTTAATTTTTGGTTTTGATAATTGATCATTAGGTGACAGCGCAGTATGCTCCAACTGTGCTTCAGACTATCAGTAATCCAGATGGTACAGTGTCAATAATCCAGGTTGACCCCAGCAATCCTATTATCACACTACCAGATGGCACCACAGCACAAGTCCAAGGAGTGGCAACTGTAAGTTTAGTCAGTATACAAGTACTTAGAGTAATCTTGTTTATATCAGTGAGTAACACAGGACTGAGCAGTCTGTTTGCACAGAACAGACTGGTGTCAAAAGGGATACAGTGTTTGGTTGGTGAGTTGTAAACCTCACAGATATGTGCAAAATTAGGTACAGTAAAGTGTTCATATAGTTAATGTAAAAATAACTGTACTTTAAATTTACAGAATATTTTTTGTCATCTGCCTTCTCTATAAGCTCATGGTAGGAAATTCGTAGTTAACGATTGTCTTAACAAGAATCGCATATTGAGGGTGGCAACATCCTTTATTCTCCACAATCGATCTTACAAATGGAAGGTCTTCGTATAGTAATTATCATGCCAGATTATTTCCAGTTATGTGAGAACACAGGATGAATATGAATATGAAAATTACAGTCTCCTGGGATGTGACACTCTGTATTTTGATAGATACGTACCAGTTTTTTAGAGGAACCTGCTGTTTCCATCTTTAGGGTGTTCAGGTTCCTCTAAAATATTTGTGCTTGTCAAACTACATAGTGTCAGACCACAGAAGACCAGTTATTCATGTTCCTAATCTTGCTGAATCTGGAATTTAGATTCATACATCTCAAGGAGCTGATGGCACACCTACGGTTCATGCTGTGCAGGCACTTGCTGAAGTTGCGACTGCGCAGAGTGATGGTTTGGCTGTTGACCTGAACAATGTTACTGAGGCCACCCTAAACCAGGATGGACAACTCATCCTTACAGGCGAGGATGGCCATGGTATGTTATATTGGATGATGAGAAGAGAGAACATGTTCGTATAAATCTTGCTTTCTGTTTTAATTTAGAAGAGTGTAAGGGATATTTAACACTTTGCGGACCGGTGGCATATTTTTATGCCCAGCGCTTTTAAACGTGGTGGACCGGTGGCATATTATTACGATTTAAGACATGTTGTGTTGAAACACACTATACCTTGCACTGGCCCCAGGCAGACGCATGACTGGTGCATGATAGACCTCTTGAATGTTTGTTTCGTAGTCAGTAACATGACCCCGCTGTTTATGACCCAACTGTTTTCCTTTCCCACTCCAAAAGAAAATGCCTTTGTTCATCTTCCAGCTGCATGCACCAGGCAGGAAGTTACTGATGAAAAATGGATCAAGATCGGAAGAGGTTGAGGTCCAAGCATTTTCTCGGAGAACAAGAAATATTTGACTTGTTCTCCGATGAGCTATCTGATGTCCCTTGTTAGTCTGCTAGTGATAGCGACTCACAATCTGATAGTGAGTGTGGCAGGAGCAAACAAAAAATTGTGGCCACAGACAGCGAAGGTGAAAGTGAAAGTGACAGTAGCTCCGACGAAAGTGTGGGTAGCAACACTGCGGGGACAGCCACATGGGGAAGAGTAGACAAAACGCATGCTTTGGGACAGTTTACTAGAAATCCAGGGGTGAAGCAAATTCAGCCGGACCCAACGCAAGTGTCTGAAGTAGCGGAACTGTTTTTTGGAGACAGTTTCTTTGACATGCTATGTCAGGAAACTAACAGATACTATCTCCAACACCATGAACATTATGACAGAAGTTATAAGGCGCTGAAGTGGGTGGATGTCACTTCAGTGCAGCGTGTTTGCGCAGTACACAACAAAAGGAGTATGACTGTCTACATGTGCAAGTTCTTTGTAATGCCACACAAGGGAATGTTTCCAGAAATATCACCCTCTCAAGCACTTCTAGGAGCATTGGTAAGTGTTCTCCAAAAATTTTAGTTCATAAAATTAATTAGGAGATTTTATATTAATTTTTAAAGTGAACAGTGCACAAGTTAGGATAGTAGGTTTAAAAATGCCGGTCCCCAGGGTGATTTAAATATTTAAATTGCCGGTCCGCGAAGTGTTAAGATTATTGTAGTGCCTTGTCTCTTCTGTAAACATCGTTCTGTAACGTTGTAGGAGTCTACAGTTCATGGTGGTCATTTGTTGTTGTTGTTGTTGTTGTTATTATTATTATTATTATTATTATTATTATTGGAGGGGGTGGGTTTCCCCATGCACCACGACCAGTGGTCTATTGTATGTCCCCCTGTGATATTCTACCAGTCTCTATACCCTACCGGTATTGGTGCGTGCCATCAGTCCCGACTCAGCCAGCGAGTTCGGCCTCTACTGGCTCAGTGGTATCTAGATGCTTCCCCCATCTACCAGAGGCGTTAGAGACTATTGTTGGGCGGGAAATGTCCTTACAAATTTGGCTCAGTTGTCTCCTTGAGAAATGAGGTTCTTTTACGTGCCGTAAAGCTACGACACGGGACCCACGGCTTAAAGTCCCTCCTGGAGGACTTGTTCCCTGAATTTTTCCGCCCTTAAAAATTCAATGACCTCCGCTGGGTTTGAACCTGCGTACCTTGAGTCATGAGGTGGGAACGTTACCCCTAGACTATGGAGGCCGCTGGTCATCTGTTACTTCAGCTTAGCATTTTTTTTTAGTGGAGAGCAGTCTTGCAATCCAGATTTCATCTTTGCCTTGCAGATTTTAACACATCTTGTAATACTGCTTCTTGGTTAATTGTGCTCATCCATTGCCTGGGTTGGCTCAAACTAGGCTGATTTGTTACAGTATTTTGATTTCCTGCAGCATATGCCTTTCAATTATTAAGAATCATTTCCATGTAGTACAAACTTACAGAATTTTAAATATGCATTGGCTTCCCTTTTGACTGTTAAATTCTGTAGCAGCCATCTTTTCATCATAGGAATATAACCTTTTGAGTATAGAGGATATGAACACAGGGCCACTGAAAGATCAAAAAAGTGCTGATCCTACTACATTTCTTTGTGCAGGTTATCCAGTGTCAGTATCTGGTATGATCACAGTCCCAGTATCGGCATCGATGTACCAAACTGTTGTTGCTAACCTTCAACAAATACATACACAAGGTGATGGCAGCATACAGGTGAGAACTGTGTTACAACTTTACATGAAGGCAGGATGCAGGAAAGCATATTCTGGTTTAAACCGAAGACTGAATTCTGTAGGAAGAGTTTGATTGTTGGCAGTGCGATATAGGAGAAGCTATTTGAATGTTTTTTTGTAGTTTCTTACAATCCTGATCACTTCATCTCATGTAACAATTGGTGTGAGTTCTAGTTTTTGCAGTAGAGGTACAGCTGATTAGTTGTCTAGATGCTCACTTTTTGTTCAGACATAAGGGGAGTGTATGAAGAGATGTTGCATATTTTTATTGGATATGTGAGGGTATTGAATGTATTACTGTACATTATATAGCAGGTCAGATGTTTTACATTAATAAAAAACTTCACTGTCAAATTAAATTATTCCATCTTCCTATTATAGCATTGCCTTATAGTGAAAATTGTAGTTTTGTAGGTTCTTGATGCCTAGGATATCTTGGGGGAGAACTGTGATCTACCCTCAACTTTGCATTCCATTGGTATGATTAAGATGAAAAATTTTATAGGGCACTTCAGGCTGAAGTAGTATAACTTTGGTGGAAGTTAAGCATTTATATTGTCATGTGTTAGTGACTAGACACGGGAATTGGATTAATAATTGGGTGTATTGAATGTTTATAAATGCAAGTAATCATAACAGTCAGGCTGTTCTGCACAGTACAAATAATTAGCATACACTAAATCTTCCCAATCTGCTGTGTTTTGATGTGTCATTGCTTGGTAACAGCTTTTAACAATTAAGGTTCCATTGATTCCATACTCACATCCTTGCTGGATGGCAACTGGATCACAGCCATATGGCCATGACTGTCGACTCCCTGGTTGTTTCTTGGGGTGGGGTGAGATTGAGTCCAATTTGTACAGTGGCCAAAATTTGTCCTATTGTAACAGCCCCAGATGATGATGATGTTGAATATGGAGCAGTTTGTGGAATGAGAATTGGCAGGGGAAACCGAAGTACTTGGAGAAAACCTGCCCCTATGTCAATTTGTCCGCCACAAATCACACATCACCTGACCTGGGCTCGAACCCAAGCCACTGTGGTGGAAAGCAGGCAACTAACTGAATGAACTATGACATGGCCTCGACCCCCTGCCCTCATTATAGAACCTTGGTAGGAACTGCACAGACAACACCATTTCCCACATCTCCTGTGTTGTTGCATGTTGACTCTCCAACAATGCTTCAAGTGTTAGGTGTTCATTGCTGCAGAAGCATGTTTGGTTGTCATTGCCTAGCAGTGGCTGCCTCTTCTAGCTTTCATGTCACATTATGTATTTTTCACATCTCCCAGAGAGCTGTATGGTGATGTTTGTCTGGGTAAAGATATTTATAATTTCTAGAATGTATGCCACTAGTTATTTACCAGGAAAAAATATTTCTTAAGTCTCATATGAAATGTAAGCTTGCTTTGTTCTGGCGTATCTCAGGGAGAAGATCGCCTGTTCCAGGTGGTGACGCCCATGGTACAAGTCCCTAAAGTGGAACCAACGAACGGTTCAGAGACTGTAGACACCATTACAGTCACACCCCAGTTGATGGGAGCCACACATCAGGTTGTAGCAATGAGCAACGAGCCGCAAGTACTTCAAGTGCTGTCGCTTAAAGATGCAGTCCTAGCAAAACCTATTGTGACCTCAGCAGGAGAGGTGAAGGAGGAGGTAGCGGCTGTCTCATCGGACCAATAGGGATGCAAATTTGTGTGAATGTGTGTGCATGTGTGCGAGTGTGTTCGTGAGAGAGAAAGTCAAGTGGATTTATGTCTGTTTTGTGCTGCAAGATGAACTTGTGTACCTGTATGCTTCATTCGTTTTCCTTTCTGAAAGGAAAGAAATCGTCTGGCTTTTACAGTGGGTAATAAATATACAAAGAATTAAATTGACAAAAATGATTTTAATATTACAGTCATCTTATAAACAGTTCGCATGTAATCAATAGTGTCTAAGAGCGCTACTATATTGATTAGTTTCCGATGTATTTAAATTTTTTATTTTTTGTATTATCATCACTTCAGAATTAATCATGATCAGTAGAACTTTGATAAGTCCATAAAATGTTGTGATTAAGCATAACCACAATTTCTGAACTAAACTACAAAATTGACACATGAAGAGCAGTTTTGTAGCTGAGAGAACCTTAGTAACAGCTGTTGCATTGCCTGAAACAGTAGAATAAATTGTATTTCAGTAACAATCTGAATTTTCGCCATTTTTGTTACACTACAAAAGGATATAGTTTCTTGATTGTTACAAGGTATTGATTCGTAGTGTGTGTGAAAAGTAATACAACTGAAGAGCTTGTGAGTGCTTTCATTTATCTTCACTTTTCCTATGTTTGTTACAAAATGTTAAATGGTTGTTTGCCGTGTGTGTTACGTGTTTGTGCCCATTGTAATAGTCTTTGGTCCTTCCAGATGACAGAAATGGACAGTGTGAGATTATTAGTCCCAAAATCTCCTCCCTATGGTAAGAGTTTAAGAATCTCAGGATAGGAAAACTATTAAACAGACAGTAAACTTTAGTATATAAAGTTACCATGGTAAGAAGTATTTCAGGAATCTCTTCTCTGACCATTTTTCATGTATGATTGATTGCTAACAAACCAGGAAATTGAGGACACCAAAGTTATGTGTAAGTGATATATCTGTACATATTACAAAGAATTCTCAGTTCAGATGTTGTGGTTGGATTTCAGTTCTTAAATAGTAAGAAATATATAGTATTCATAAAGAACATAATCACTGCACAGTGCCATGGAAATGCTAGACATTCTTTTATTTACCTTTCAGTAATAAAAGAATTCAAGGTATTTTCAGGTAAAAGCCATACTTTTTATTATGAAAGGAATGATTAATTACTTTTCTGTAATTTTACTATACGGACGCGGCCAGTCAGACCCTTTGAATTTTAACAATTTGTTGGAAGCTGATTATTGTCCTCAAATTTTTAGTCATTTAAATAGTTCCTAAATGTAACATTTTTATACAGTGTTTAATATAAAAGAGCTGTAATGTTCGTGGTTTTTTGTTATATTAAGGAGAGCAGAAAAAATTTGAGTTAGAAGAATTCAATTTATATGTAGAAAAATTGTATGTGGTTTACTAGTTTATGTACAGAAGTGTGAAAAACATCATTTCTGCATATGATAGCACTATTCCTGTATTTGTTCAGGTTTACCACAGACATACAGTCTCTCACTGAACTTAAAGCGTACAAGAGTTCTGATTTTAGAGAACTGGCTGATATAAACATGAAAACAGTTCAGATATTTTGGACAGTGCTACCATGACATAACTTTCTTAGAATTGCCATTCATTGTCTTTTACTGTCACATATGGATGTGTAGGATTATAAGGAGAAATCTTGCTATGCTAGGAATGTACAAGGTCAAGCAAATAAGTTTTTAGACTAATTTTTAAAAATTTATTTTAAGAGCTGCAGATATTAGCAATCTAGAATTTTTCTAAGTAATCTCCCTCCAATTCTTCACAATCTTCCCAGCACTTTGGCCATTGTTCCAAGCAGTTTTTAAAATCCTGGACAGGAATGCCAATTTTTTTCCCCACAAATTTAATGTCCCCAGCGTCTAACAAATGCTTTCCTTTCAGCACACTCTTTAGTTTTACAAACAGAAGTCAGCTGCAACCAATTCAGGGGAGTATGTTGGATGAACCATGCAGAGATGCCTTTTCCTGCACTTGAAGTGAAAAATATGCTGGTACCTTGTTGTAAAGAATCAGTGAGCGATCTCTCCACGATTCTCCTTGTCTGCACCTCAGCATCAATAAGCCTTTTCGACACCTCCACATAGAATGTGTGATTAACAGTAGTCCCCTCAGGTACATATTCAAAGTGGATATACCCCTGATGTCGAGGAAGCAGATCAGTGTTGTTTTGATCTTGGACTTTTGACATCCATGGCTTTTTTGGCTTTGGAAATTCTTCAATCTCCACTCCCTAGACTCTCATTTGGCCAGTTGGAGATTTCTGCGGTTTAACACAAAATTTCATCACATTCACTCTGTGTTCCATCATATGCTCCATTTTCACATCTGGACAAAATTTACAGTGCACAGTGATCTAATGAGCTACTGTTCAATGAATACTGAATGCAGCTTATCCAGACTCTCCATGCTAGCTCTGTCTTCTTGTGTCACCTAACATTCCAAATTACGTTGCCAGATCACCCAGTGCAAAACTAAAAATGAGTCTTGAAACTTATTTGCATGTCCTTGTATAGTAGATGAGAAAGGACCTGACTGTGGGAGATAGCTTCTTGCATTTTGTCCAAACTGTGAGCTTTGTCAATGAATGGTTGAGGTATACCATACACTAGCATATTGTGAAGGTTTTGATTTGGGCAAAGTGTTACCTTACATCAGCGAGTCTATAGGCTGTTACTCTGTGCTGTTTCCTTTTCTCAGCTATCCAGTCTACTCGTACAGTGACAGTTGTGCTTAGATGTAAACCATAGAATCATTTTTAACATGTTGACTCTAGAGGGAATTCATCTACAAAAATTCATGAAAGAAGAAGAGAATGGAAGGTGGGCTCTAAGGAGAAATTGTAAAGTCCACTTTCCTGTTGCACAGCTTTCTAGTCCTACATATTGTGTGTTGCTGATGTTGTCTTTGTAATCCAGGATTGAAATGGAATGTAGAATGTGAGTTTGTGTTCTGAACTCTTGTACATTATCTTATGATTGAATCCCACTTTTGTCACATTTCTTTTAATGATTATTGGTTGAAAATGTTAATATGTTACAGATTATTATTATTATTATTATTATTATTATTATTATATTGCTATCACCACCACCACCACATTTTCTGGGAGAACATTAATTATATACATTTTCAGTGTACACTAGATTTGTCAGATACAGCATCAAAGTTCAATTCAGTCATTGTGTTTGTAATTGTTGACTCACAAAACAATATTTTGTACATAATTTATAGTTATGTGTATGCTCTGTCTCCATACCAAGATTCACATATATAGCTCCAGTGGTTCATTTGTTATTGTTGTCAGACTGGAAGTTAAAAAGAATGTTTTCCCATAACCATTATGTTGTTTTTCATTACTCCCAATCAAAAAAAAAACCTTAACAAAAAAGGCATTTTTCATTGATCTGTTACCATAAATCATTTTAGGCACTGATATTAAGTGACGTTCATGTTAGTCCCACACAAGTTCAGGTGTCTGCCATATTGATATTGATGTAGCAAATTGAAAAGCATGAGCTTGGTGTGGCTTCTTATGATGCAACCTTCATAACCCCCCCCCCCAATTAATAATCTAATAATACTACTTCTGTTTTCCCTAACAAAGGAAAGTAGAATAATAAGAAACACCAGACTCAAATATTTGTGTCCCAGACAGATTTGAAAATGTCATCTCAGTAGCCAGAATTGCCGCACTAACATATACAGTTGTGAGAGTCAACTTTCATTAATTTAACTGCTTTGCAAAACAGAGGTCTCGCATAATTTAAGTTTAAATGCGTAACATTAAAGATTAAATCAGAGGAATGTATTACTTCATAGTAAAGCTTGTTTTAAGATCTAAGATTTGGATCTTATGTGGGAACTGAGTGTTTGTAGTTATATGCTTTTTACTACTATGTTGAAGCAGTGACATGTAGGAGAATTCTTCTGAAGGAATATGCTTAGAGGTTGTCCTGCACCAAAGGAACAACCTGTTGATGTAAATGTTGTTTTTGGATGATTTGGGGTGGGTGTTTTATTATATGAAGCACTGTTAAGTTTAAGATTTATGTGATTGATTGCTTAATTTGTGTGGTAACTGAGAAGATAATCTTGGTTAGGAAACTGCTCCCAGCACAGATACTGTTCGGGCCTGAATTACTGTATATCATTTCCTAAGTCTAGAAAAGTAAGTGAACATGTAGTCTGATGTGCATACTTTCTGGGACTGCTTAACCACTGGGATCATGGGTTTGAATTCCTCTTGGGGCATGAGTAGATGTCTGTATTTTCTGTTACATTGGCCTGTGTAAGTAGAGGCCTTGCAATGGGCTGATACCCCTTCCAAGGTGCCCTAAGAATTATCTAGAAAGTATGCATAATTTCAGAAGTTAATTCTTAGTTGGAAGAAGCCAAAGGGCATATTTACAAAACCTAAATAAGTGCAGAAAAAGAACAGTTGGGTAGATCTTCTGGTTTGAAGAAAGCATCAACCCCTTTTCAGCAGTTTCATTTTAGTGTTGTAGACTTAAATGCCCTTTTGAATCAGTCCTGGTCCCTACAAATATATTGACAATAAAACTCAAAACAAGATGGCAATCTGTTTATTAACTTTGTGGCCTGTTCAAAGTTGTGAGATTCCGGAGTTGAAATTAGTTTCATATTGACTTCGGATGTGTTTCCAGCATTCAACAAATTGTTAAAATGAATCTGGCAGTGTGAAATATCTTGATACATATTAGTGAGATTGATCCAGGGCTAATGGATAATCTCATGAAGCAACCAAATAGCTCAGTTTTGAGTTGAGCACTACATACTGTGTATGGAAGAACAGTATATATGTTTTGCATTTATACTGAAGATTGAGTGTGTGACTGTTATTTTTCTGTCTTTACCAGATTTTTTCTTTGTGTCTTTATTTTCGCTTCATGTGATGATTGTGCCATAGAAAATACCGGTAGTATAACGACACTGGTCATGAAGATGTGGTGTGTTGCAGTTTGCAGTACGATGCCGTTCTTGTCGTCTGCATTCTGTGTCAAAGGCAGTATTTGGAACGTGGATTTCACAGGTCGTATGCTGTTTCTTCAGGGAACGGAATTAAACAAATCAGGTTCAGTTTTCACTGAAAATAGACTGAGTTTGTTATCTTTGTTTATAAATATGTAAGATGTGCAACATTTAAATTAACTGTAAGGTATTAATTGCCATTATGTTTGCAGGCTTCTTGTCATATTTGTCACTGTGCATTAACGATTGTGTCCAGTCAGCAAGATTTCTGTGGAAAATCTGCCTATTTACTTTAACTTGTAATCCTTCAAGGGGACCAGAATCTGTGAACACAGCATTACTTTGTGTTGTGGTCATGTTGTGTTGTATATCTTCAGTAAGTACACTGTGGACTTTGCTTTCATCTCCAACAGTTTATCCATAATGTACAGTTTTCATACTTTTTTTATATAACTTCACTATTTAAACTTATCTTTGAATGCATACATATGCAATATTTTGTTGACTTCTTAATAGATGATTTACAGTTTCCATTATGTAATTTAATTTCATGAATACCGCACAATCACTTTATAACATTTCTTTCTTATATTCCTGCCATAAAGTTTGAATAGATGTGTGTCATCCATTCAAATAGCCTGTGCCGACACTTTTGCCACTTCTGTCGCCCTTGTTAACTGTACAGAATTAGGATTTATGGTTTCCTTAACCCTTAGTGTGAGTATTTCCAAAGAATCAAAATTTACTGGCACATAACTTCAAAAGTTATACCTTGGTAATATTTCATACATTTGTAGTTTTTCTCTGGGTTGATACCTAATTTCATTTGCTGTTTATTAACCAGCTGGATTATTTGTACTGTGATTCCAAAGTTCTTGCATTTGATAATGCAGTCAGTTATAGTGTAATTAAATCATATGAAAATATCTGTCCTCTGTATAATGTGTAATATTAATTTCTGCATTTGTTTTCGGTGTGCTTGAATTATGTTAGGTTCATTTGAATTATGCTCATCTGTTATCATGTATCTTGTCACCTGGACACAGTCTAACTATGCAGAAATGGTTTAATTTTTGGCGCCTTTGGAAAATGAATATGAGGACTCTGAATTTCGCACGTCGCTGCGTGTGTTGTGTACAAAGTCTTTTAATTTATATTTGTTGAGTCAGTAGCACAGTCTGCTGCATGTGATGTGAAAGCAGATCAGTGCTAGGTTATTTATGGTGTCCTGTTCAGTGACGGAAGAAAAATCCTGTCGGTTATCTAAAGATAAGCAATCCCAGGCATGTGCAATTTATGAAAAAAATATACAGTTACGATATCAGAGCGATCTATGTGATCCCATTAGTGTAATTTTGTGTGTGCTTGTAAACCGTAAGAAAATTTGGAAAGATATCCAACTTAAAAAATGTTTTTTTTTTTTACTGTGGTAGAAGAACTAGTAAAAATTTTGTCATTTCTTGTTTGTTGAAATCAGTGTCAAGTTTAATATTTCACTGACTCTTAAATGTTTTCTGAAATCTAAGGAAAGAACATTTTTAAAACTTCTTACTCTGCCTTATATTGTGTTCAGATAATTTGTAATTTATATTTCAAAATGCTTCTGGCAGTTCGTATGTTTGTTTTTAAGCATATTGACATTGTTTTGCTGTAATCCATAGATGTATTATTATATTATGATACTGTTTGTATCCTCTACTTTTTGTTTGTACCAGTGGTGGGCTGTCACATAAGTGAGGGACTGTAACATTGAAATTTGTGTTAGGTGATCTTGTCTCCAACCAATTGAGAGAGCGCCACTGGTTTATACCATCACCAATACTGTTATATTTGACTGTTCACCATGTTGGTCAACAGTTAATTTTTAAAATATACAGCAAGGGTATCCCAAAATTGTTTTATTTAATTGATGTTAGAACTCCCTACATGTCAAGACAAGAAACTGCATGCTTAAACAAAGACTGCTGATAAAGGTTCTTTGAAGGTCAACTGACATTTCAGAGGAATGTGTTGCCTCCATCTTCAGGGTTGGAGCAAGAAACCAGCATGAAAGCAGGGGGCAAGCAGAGCTCTGGAGGCAAAATGTCACATTCAACTAGCTAAAAATGAGCAATAGCAACCTTGTAACTTGTAGCACTTTCAACATGCACCCCAGCAGTTAATTTTGATTGAAACTGTGTTTAGTGGCATCATAACTGAATTGCAGGCCATATTCTGCATGAACAGTTTCAGTAGTAGCAGTATTACATTTCAACAACTATGAAAGGGCTTCTCACTTCGTGCAGATTCTGGGAGGGAATCATAACTTACCGTTATCAGCCTCCATTAGAAGAAAAAGCCATTATGCATCATCCTATGAAGATGGAGAAGTTTAGCTGTAAAGATTGGTGAATTCTCAATCTTACCATGAAATGGTATCTACAGCTTTATATCTTGGAAGCCACCATGTGACATTCTACAACACAGTCTTTAAGTCTTTAACCACCATTGCAGCCTTGAATTAGATCCTTTTTAGGTGGTCCATTATATGGTGAAAAAACTGGCACGAGTGGAGTACATTGCAGTACTGTTTAGCGAGTTACTTAACTATCGGCAACTGATATGCAGGTTCACCCAGTATCTGGTTATCCAGATTTATGGAGGCTTCAAATGAAGCACTTCTCTGTAACTGCCCTTGGCTACAGTATTCTCAGGAATAAACATTTGTCATAAATACTTCCAACACAGCCTTCCCTTTTGAGTGATCCTGTCACATTTATGACTGTAGTGGTAGCAATTCTCATAAGCTCAAATTATAAATATGTTTATATAATACTCACTTGGAAAAAAGTGTATGGTAGCATGGAGTTAAGAGGGATCTTTTGTTTTCTTTAAATGTGACAGCTCAGTAATGATGATTGTAATACAAAATTGTACCATTTGTTGTCAGTTCATACGTCACTGAATAAATAAACCTACCGTAAGTATTTAGGCTCAATATATTCAGTCACAATGTTATCTCCCAATTTAATCCAACAGTTTGCTACTGACCAATTAACTATTAATAGTACAGCAGTTATGTTTCCTGCAGATCAAAGCCAATGTAGAATGGGAGTACACTTCCAGCAGTAGCTTGGAACTACGGAACTTTAAAAATATGAAAGGGAATTTCCATCAGTTTCAGTCACTACTTTGCATCCCACTTTGACTGATGACTGGCAGTCTCCAATAGGCTGCAAGAAACAATGCAAAATGCCTGTTTCATTTTACCATTCAGCAATATAGTTATCGCTACGCACTTAGAACTATATTATACCAAATTTGAGCTTAAACTGGAGGGGGGGGGAACTGCAAACAACTTACTGGCATTGTAAAAAGAAAGGCACCATTTCAACTAGTCAATTTAGTAAGTATTACAGACATGAAAAACATATTATATCATTTAAAGCCTGGAGTACCTAGGTGTAAAATATTGTCAGCTATTACGTCAAAAATTTCCGTCACCTTTATACTTTCTACCAAACATATCTTCCTAACCTTAATAACACACACTTTGATTTTAATGTGGTTTATTTTTCCAGCTACATATTTGTTGCCATTTTGAAAGAAAATAATGTACACTGCAAAACTTTCATGCCACATTACTGTTCTACATAACGAGGCTTTTACGCACAATGCTGAAAGTTATTACAATTTTTCCAGTTCACCAAAACAACTATTTACTTTCTATGTCTTTGCACCTGCCTACATATCATATACATTCTTGAGAGCCAGTTCTGGTTTGTCATATCCCAATTCTTCTGGGGTGTTGATTCCCAATTCATCTAGAGTTGGTCGAATCTCTTGAAGGATGTACGGATAAATCTCTTGGACGCGGTTCCCACACTTAGACTTTATGGTTTCTAGGAACCTCACAGCCAACGCAAAGTCGCTGACTCGTCGACATGCTCGAAGGGCAGCATTAACGATTTTGGGTTCTGGTACAAGGTCCATACCTGCCAAGTCGTTCATCGCTTTACGGATCTCCCAGCCATCAATATCCTGTCTATTAAAATAGGCTTCATACCTACTGTCGAATTCATCGTCGGTCTCCGTTGAATGCTGAGACATTAAACGACTAGGTAAAACTGATGTTGTACGTGCCACATTTTGTATGGCAACACTCCGAACTACAGAATGGAAACGGCAGACTGCAGTCCTCAGCATTCTGATGGGTTTTGGACAGGAAATTTAATGTATACTTATGCCTCAGCCTGCTTCCTTATCAAACCCAACCTTCCGCAGTTGCGTAACGAAAAACTACGAAGGATCCAAGATGGCTGGAATGCGAAAGTTCCGGTGCCCCAACGAGAGACTGCGTTCCAAAATGCTTAACTCGAGAATGTCGATGTCATTCTACTGGATTTGAGGTTTTCACAGCTGTGATAAGACAGGATTTTATGATGCTATCGTTTCTGTCACAAATGAAAGCGATTATTAAAATAACTGAATTATTTCCATTATGATAATGAGAACAGCAATTCAAAAGAAATCAAATTGGAAATGTATAGGAATGATACATCACTTTAGAATACAAGCTATTTATGTCGAATTAACAGTTACAATTTACGTTTGCATGAATGACAAAGATTGGGAGCACATCTAAAATTATAAATTCTAGTCCGACTTGATAAAATGTATTTCTCAAAATACGTGTACTAGAATATCATCACTTGCTAAGATGTGAGTAATACTGATTCAGAATCTATTATTACGGATAAAAGCAATCAAAGTAGCATTCATTTGTTTCAGACAAGGCAACAACGTTAATGTCAATGACGCAAACTTTTTCTTTTACGTTATTTGTACGAGACTTTCCAAAGTGGCACTGGGACAGGTTTTCTTCGAGTACTACGGTTTCCCCTGCCAATCTTCATTCCACCAGTTGCTCCACAATCATCCTCACCTAACATCTGGGGCTGGTACAATAAGTCAGAAGTGGCCACAGTACAAGGGGCCTAGTCCCACCCCACTAGCAATAAAAAAAAGTTATACAATACAGAAATAATGATTTAACAACTCAAGACTTGTCACCGATTCGTATTGGCCGTTGATAGGATCCTGTGAACCTGCGAGCATCTGTGATTCCATACGAGTGACGTGATTTAGCATGAATTCATGATGGCGTTGTTTGTCGAGTGACGTAATGTGAGAGTTCGTAACGCAAGACACTTTAAACGCTTTAGGTTTTTATATGAGTTTAAATGTTTGCGTTAAAATAATAATAGTAGCATAACAATGGATCACCGGGCAAGAAAGAGGATTAGAGAAGTGAAAAGGAAAGCTAGACCAGGTTAGGTTTTTGAAGGGGAGAATGTGTTTCTGTGTGCTTAAATTCACCAGAATTTGACCATAATACATAATGGAGAATTAAGTGTTGTTATTGTTAAACATCTGGAAAAAGTAAACTGATATGTTCGTATAAGATCTGTAGTATTAAACTCCTGTTTATGTTGGAATTTATATTTACTGAAATTTCATCCTAGTTTGCCATTTTCTGTTTGACTCATTATGTGTATGTTTTGCGACGGGCTGGACGGTCGGGATTCGATTCTCGGCAGGGTTAAAGTTTTTCGCTTCTCCAGACCTACTCTAGGTTTCACCCAGGTTTCTGTGTTAAGGGTTTTCGGGGTCGTTTTCCCGAAGGTAAAGCAGCGGAGGCATGAAGTTGACCACTCACCTTCATCTAGTACAAAGGTCAAAAATGCTGGAGTTATACCTTCACTCCCAATATATCTGCATGGCGTGATGCTTTTTCAGTGAAGCGTGGGGAAAACTTAACTCTAGATGTTATGATAGCTGGGATTGCCCAGTCAGTATAGTATACTTTGGAAATTTATTCCCAGGAGAAGTTTTTGTGCCTATGCTGAATATCAACCTCCATTTGCCCCGTGTGTAGTGTCTGCTTACTGAGCTACCCTGGCTCATAACATGTCCTTACAGGTTTGAAGCGTGGAACAGCTGTACAATACTGTAGCTACATATAACCTTCTTAAATGTGAGCTTTGATTACAGTTACTAGATTGTAGATTATCCTTTCAGTACTGAGTGCCAATAGAATTTGGCTTTTGTTTGTGGTTACAAACGTTGATATAAATTATTCCAATATGCCTAATGAAAATTTTAAAGATGTGCTTAAAATTCTCTTGCTGTGTTGTTAGCCAGAATTGTACTGTTATGAACTTAAGGAAATTTGACTCTCTTTTACTGAAATATAACTGTATAATGAGACACAAGTTCTCCTGTGGTACTGCTGCCTGGTGGAGGCCTTGACCTCCACTACAATATTCTTTTATTGGTTGCTATCTGCTGCTCTTTCCTTCCATAGAAAGATTCTGCAGTACTAAATTATAATACTGTAATTATTCTGTCTCTGTCATTATCTGTTACTTTGTTTTTCATCTTGTTATGAAATATTACTCAAATGTATGTACAATACTTTCTTCCAGAGCTGAATGATAAAGGAGACTGGTCAGCGCTGGGATATATAGATCAATTTGATTCATTTTTGACTGTTAATGACAATGTTGAAAGAATTCATGTGAAAGATTTTCCTCCAAGTGAATTTATAGAAAAGTATGAGAAGTTATACAAGCCGATAGTTATTTGTGGAATTCAAGATAATTGGAAAGCGAAGCATAAATGGACATGTGAGGTAAGCCGCTCTATATAGAGGTCCTCACGGCTCTGAGTTGATGAGCTGTGCTGCTGTTATTCTTTTCATATTTATGCATAATCCCTGCTTTGCTTGATTTACGGTCTTACACATGACACACAGAACTGCACTCTAAGTTCCTTGATAATTTTGTCAACACCAAGAACAATTATGGATGGTTGCTGAATTTTATAAAACACTGCAGTAAATTCAGAATTATTATTCTTGAGGACTTATGTTTTATGTTAATATCTGTCATTATCTGTGATTATACTTTGGGGTATGTGCTTGTGGTTGGCCTTGTGAGTAATTATGTTTTTGTCCACCTTTTTCAGAAGTTTGTTTCTAATCAATATTTTGGTTCCTAAAAACCATTATATGGAATTCATCTGGGCTGCTTTTAAGTTACCTTTTCTGATTTGTACTTTTCCATTTTGTGTGATCTCTTGTGCTGCATTTACATTTTTTTGAGGTTTCAGATTTCTGAGATATTTTCAGTGTGCTGCTATAATAATATTATATTTCTCTTGTATTTTGATGATGATGTGAGTAAGGGATGTTGTAATAATAATGTTCTTATGTTTGTAGAGGCTGGCTAAGAAGTATCGAAACCAGAAATTTAAATGTGGCGAAGACAATGAAGGGTACAGTGTTAAGATGAAAATGAAGTATTACATTCAGTACATGACAACAACTCAGGATGACAGCCCGCTTTATATATTTGATAGCAGCTTTGGTGAGGTACTTTCATGTGCAGTTGTTTCTGAAAAGAAATATTAGTTTTTTTTTTTTTTTACGGACATCTCAAACAGTGTGTGTTTGGGTTGGGTAGGTATGTTTATATAACTTTAGTGATGATGTTGCAGTCATATTGGAAGCCATTGTCATTGAAAGTGAATGCTGTGAATTAGTGTTAAGTGACTTAGTTACAGAATTTGCATCATGTTGCATCAGCTATTAGTGGCATACTACAGTGATGTATATTAATGATGGTGTAGAGTGTGTTTTAACAGGAACTAGACACAGGGTTTGGACTGATAATTGAATTTATTGAACGCTTGTAACTCGTAATTACAAATAACTGTAACACTGTCACAAATCTATGCACTTTACAAATCACTACTGCAAACAATAAGTCTTCTTTGTCTCTGCACTATATGTTGCTTTGCAGTGACATCTAACAATGTAGCTGAAGACTCTAACCGCTGACCTCTGACATCTGACTGTCAATTCGCAACTGCCAGCTCATGGCTTACTACCCCCTGCCCATGGCTGACAAATTTCTTTTTGTTCATCCTCGCTGTACAAATATAGCCTCGGGCTCAGCGTGGACTGCATAGAAACACTGCTTCCAAGAAGTCCTCCATTTTTGAGTGATTTGTTAAGTGAGCTGTTAGCGCCTCCGTAGTCTAGAGGTAACGTTCCCACCTCATGACTTGTGGTACGCGGGTTCAAACCTGGCGGAGGTCATGAAATTTTTAAGGGCGGAAAAATTCAGGGAACAAGTCCTCCGGGAGGGACTTTAAGCCGTGGGTCCCATGTCATAGCTTTACGGCACGTAAAAGAACCTCATATCTCCAAAGGAAGTCACTGAACTAAATTGAAGGACATTTCCCGCCCAACAGTAGTCTCTAACGCCTCTGATAGATGGGGGAAGCATTATAGATACCGCCAAGCCAGTAGAGGCCAAACTCGGTGGCTCGGTCGGGACTGATGGTACGCACCAATATCGGTAGGGTATAGAGACTGGTAGAATATCTTAGAGGGAAGCACAATGGACCAATACTGGTCTCAGTGCATGGGGAAAGCCACCCTCTCCAATAACTAACTAACTAAGTGAGCTGTTTCCTAGAATTCCATGGGTATTGTTGACATGGGAGCATATTTTGGTTGCGATGAAAACGTGTTAGCTGACAGTTGCCTAGCAGTGGCCGTATCTTCCGGGTCCTCTGTTCTGTCATTTATGTGTCATGTTACGGCATCTTTCCAACACTTCAATCATGTTTTGTGCTTGGTGATGCAGTGAAGTGTTTGACAGTGTAATTCAAACGTAACTGCTGTCTCAGTTACATCTAAATTGAAGGTTGAATTGCTAAGGAATGAGGCCTGGAGTGGAATGGCACAGCAGTAAGATGTCCTGTTGCTGAAGTAGTTAGCTAGTCGGTATAGAGATAATGCTTAAGTAACACTGTCATGTATTAGGGGTTAGCGTGACGAATAATAATGGGTTCTTGATTTGATGACCGGATTTATTGGCACTTCTTTACAGTTACAGTGAATTGTAACAGCTCACACATTGAACTCCTGAATGCCGTGTGAAGAATCTTGTCACTAATTTCTGACCTCTACTGCTACTCGAATTCACAAATGCACTGCCTTTTATAACTGCCACGCTGCCAGTTCCTCTCTTCTGCATTGTCACAGGAATGCCTTTGTTCATGTTTGTTGCCATGGGAACAGGTGCCAGCTAACTGTTGCCTAAAAAAATCACTTCTGCTTCTGCTGTTATTCCAGCTTTTAGGCAGTGCTTACCTAGCCATTGGCTAGCAAATTGTCATCACAGTACTTAAGAGAATTGCAAGCTACACAGAAAGTCCTCATATTCTTAGCTTCTGTTTCGTCTCATGCTGGCCAGACAGTATAGGCTTAAGTGTGTCCATATGGATGCAGCATGTCAAGCGTGAAAATGCTTTTGCTGCAAGTGGAAATGTGTTGCAGCATGCCCGTCGCAACAAGCTCCTCCAGGACTATGAAGTGCCAGTATATTTCCGTGATGACCTGTTCAAGTATGCTGGAGAGGAACGGCGTCCACCATACAGGTGGTTTGTCATGGGACCTGCTCGGTCAGGCACTGGCATTCACATCGACCCCCTGGGAACTAGCGCCTGGAATGCTCTGGTGGTGGGTCACAAAAGGTGAGTAGAAATTTCGTGAACCCTTTGACGTATACGTGTTTTGACACACTAGTTGTGAGATGGTGATGTTCAGCATTAAGGCATCATGCAGTCTGTTAGGTTCATGATCATCTTATATCTGCAATTCTTTACTTTTTGCGGGGGTATTTTCATTCCAGTTCTCTCTTTTTTAAATCAAAAGAATCATAGAGAGGAAAATTTGGGAAGTTTTGTGTGCTAGTAGGTATTGTGTTGTTGCCCTTGTCCAGAGTCAGTATACTGACGTGTATGGGCTAGAAACCCTGAGAATTGGTGTTTGATTTCCATTGGGGTCAGTTATCACAAGTCTGTTTGCAGTATGAGAGGCGGGATAGCGCAGTTTGTATAACAACTGGCTACAAGCTGGACACCCAAGTGGTCAGAATTCGAGTCCTAGCTGAGGCAAGAATTTTGAATTATCCATGTCAAGTAGACCAGTTCTGAACCCAGCCAGCTTCCTGTCCAATGGGTATTGGGCTTTTTCCCCAAAGGTAAAGCGACCGGGCCGTGAAGTGACTACTTACCTCCAGCTGTTGCTGAGGTCAAGTAAACGTGGATTTATAATCCACTCCCCCATACATCTTCATGTCATAGTGCTTAATTGGTGGAGAGAACTTTATGTTACCTTTTTCGAATTTAGATGTCATTTGGATATAGTATTGTTGCAGGTAAAATGGGGCCTCCCCTGTGGGAAGAAGAACATTGATCATAATTTGGTTTCTTCAAGAAAGTGCAAGACATCATTCAGGAACTTGACAGAAGACATAAGCTGAGTCACAGTATGCCATATTGGAAATTTGACACAGTGCCTCTGTGGTCTAGTAGTCAGCGTTCATGGCTACAGATTCAGAGGTCTGGGTTTGATTCCCGGCGCTACTAGATTTATTTCTGAGAAGATGTGTGTCTGGAACTGGGTCCACTCAGCCTCATGATGATAGTTGAGGAGCTATTTCATGGAAATAGCGGCTCCAGTCTAGAAAACTGAAATTAACGGCCATGGGGATTTGTTGCACTGACCATGCGACATCCTCTAGCTGCAAAAATTGGCACTAAACTTCACATACAAGCAGCGGTTGCTCGGTCAGTATAGTTCGCTTGCGGACTAAAATCACAGAGTTTGTTTTGCTTTGCTCTAATCAGAATTCCATTGTCAATGTGTTAAAATCATGAAGCATTGGAGCAGCTAAACTTTGCTGCTGTTGGGTGTGTTACAGGTGGTGCTTGTTCCCAACACACACTCCTAAAGAGTTACTGAAAGTAACATCAGCAGATGGAGGGAAACAACGTGACGAAGCCATTACTTGGTTCAAAGTAGTGTATCCTCAGACCCAGCTTCCGTCTTGGCCAGAGAACTGCAAGCCTGTATGTAAAATTTAATGCGTGAATTATGTAACTTGGATAATGTACAGCCTACAGAGATTTTAGGGAGGAAAGTGAAGGGACAGACTAAAGAAGACTGGAAAACCTGAACGTGGGTTCTGTGACAGGGGTTGTAAGTAAACAGATCACACTTAGCCGAGGCTTGGAATTAAGTAAGGTTTGCATGTTCAACTTGTCTGGTATGATGGTGTGGTTACACTGTAAGTGGCTGGCACTGGAACCTGCATTGGAATGATGATGCCATGTGCTTCACTGTTGTACTCTTCTTTCAAAACGTTATTACCTGTCTGTGTTATGGATGTCACATTCCTGAAGAACAGAACTTTAGTGTCATGAACGTTGAAACTGGAGCAGAAAGTATTGTTATGGTCCAGTGCCTGTACTCTTTTTGAAGGTTTAGGTATATCTTTCAGGCGGAGAGGGTAGGCAGGCAAGTACTATGATTCCGCCCTCTAGTTTTCCATCACTAATGCAACCACAGCCACAGTTACGAGACCCAGACAGTAATTGTTCGGGAGTCCATCAAGATGAGCAAGGGAGTTGGTCATTTGAGGGACAGTTTCAGCCTCAGTTCCTCAGAGGTCTCTTCTGTGGCTTCTTCCAGTAGACGCATACTTAGTTTGGAAGTTTGTTCCTTTGCGTTCTCTTGGCGCATATCCATGCATGTTACATTTAGGAGAAGCGTGTATAATTGACTGTAATGTCAAAATTCATAATTCTATTTCTTCTGCTCTTGAAATGGAAGCAGACTGTGCCAGAGAAATGTTGGTAAGGATGTAATATGTCTTCACAGTGGCATAGCCTAATGGTATGTTAACAGTTTTCTCAGATTAAAAATTCATTCATTGAAAATCGAATAATGTAAAATTAAGGGCAATGCCTGATCTTTCGTGAGCCTTACTACACGTACTAAATGTGTATGATTATCCCTTAGAATTACTGGGTTTTTGGACTTCGTCCATTGTCCAATATTCTATAAACTAGGGAACTGGATGTTTCTGTCTGCAGAAGAGGGGAGAGAGACCTACTCTGTTGGATCCCTTGGAAGGAGCTAACTTCAATCACAGTCCTCATCTGAGGACAGAAAAAGCTTCAGTTTCTGAAATGTTGTGTTCTCTGGTTTTTAGAATACTTGTCAATGGACAAAGTCCAAAATCCCAGTAATTCTGAGTGTTACACACCATTGTCAGAACCTTTTAGAATCTACATGTATTATTATGGCTTAGTAAAAATGAACAAGAGAATGTTTGACCTTTAAATGCAGTAAGTTGTGATATATCAGGCCATGCCATAGCTCAAGCGGTTAGTCGCTGGCTCCCCACCGCGGTGGCCCGGGTTCGATCCCGGGTCTGGTCAAGTGGGATTTGTGGTGGACAAAGTGGCGCTGGGGCAGGTTTTCTCCAAGTACTTCAGTTTCCCCTGCCAATCTTGATTCCACCAATTCCTCCACAATCACCCTCGCCCATCATCTGGGGCTGGGACAATAGGCCAGAAGTGGCTGCAGTACAAGGGGCTTAGTCCCACCGCACTAGCAATAAAAAGAAAAGTAATGATATGAGCTGTAACAAACCTGGATATGTGTCTTGCAGTTGGAGATCCTGCAGAAGCCAGGTGAGACTGTGTTTGTGCCAGGTGGTTGGTGGCATGTTGTGCTAAACCTTGATGTGACAATCGCTGTCACTCAGAACTTCTGTAGCCGTACCAACTTCCCTGTCGTGTGGCACAAGACAGTTCGTGGGCGTCCCAAGCTTTCCCGCAAGTTGTTCAGGGTTCTTAAGGTAATGATTTTCTTTTGTCATGAAGCTGCATTATGTGTCTTGATATAGGTCCTGGATCTCCATTGTTTTAGTCACATAAATAATAAAAGTGGTATCACCTGTGTACAAGTGAAAAAGTAAAGCTATCCCTGTAACAGGCCGTAAAGGCCCATAGGATTGTGAGACGTTGAGGGTCCCACGTTATCTAGACAATCGCCTCAAAGATGGTGGTAAGGTTGTCAGCCTTACGCGCCGGCCATGCTTTGCTCCCCATTAAATTATTTAATTAATTCCCTGTACGCGTTTCTGTTAGAGGTTGAGTCGACCCCAGGGCCTAGTGTGGCCAGAAGGATTAGGTCAATTGAAAAAAATCCAATGACTTCATTGGGACTTGAACCTGCAACCTTCCGTCTTGTAGCATAGCTCGTCAACCAACTACGCTATTGCGTGCCCCCGTATCACCTGTGTAACTTATGTTTTGCACCAACGATTCACTATTTTAGAAATGTTAGAGATATCATTAATTTATTCCTCCATTTTAGCGCACAGAACATATGCAGTTATATGTGACTGGTAAATTGGTTTCATCTTAGTGTAAATGCAGATAATATTTTATGTACTGTTGATGTGCCACTTAAATTCTTCGCTGAAATTGTAGCTGAATGCTCCTACCACAGTGAGTGCGAATGTGTTGGAATGACATTTGTTAAGTGTGTGTTGTTAAAGACACTCAGTAAAGCTAAAGATGTCAGTGCACTTAATTAAGCATTATGCTGTGAAGACATGGGGGAGTGGAGGTATATACTTCCACCATTCTTGACCTTGGCACTGGATGGAGGTGAGTGGTCAGCTTCATTCTTACCAGCCACTCTGCTCCCCTCCCCTGGGAACTTTCCCCAGGTACCCATTGGTAGGAAGCTGGGTGGGCCCCAGAGCTGGTCTGGATACTGTGGAAAAGAGATCTTGCTTCTGCTGGAATTCAAACCTGGCCATTAGCCGGTCGCTATATTGACTAAACTATCCTGACACCTAGCTGAACAATCCAAAACAGGTTAATATTTCAGCTGAGTGTCTGTGAAGTATTGTACATGTTCTGGAGGGTAAGAAAGATAAGGGAAAATATTTGTAGATCTCACAGTAGAATGTCAGAGTCCGCCACCTGTACATCTACTGTTTCACTGTACAGTTCTTCCAGTTCAAAATTTGTGAGTCATAAAAGTAATCGTCACTCCAAGTCTCAGAATATGGGATATGTAGAGAGAGCGTTAGACAAGTATGATCCTGAAATAGTACAGTTTCTTATAGGAAAAGGAACCGGCCTTAGCCGCACTGGCGGACACAGTGGACCTGAATGCTGGCACGGGTGTCGCATCAGATAGTTCGAGTGGTTCTACTTCCAGTTCAAGTGATTCAGATGATTCATCATGTTCAAGTTCCAGTGGCGACGATGATAGTGGTCAGGGATCACTGACAGCACATAAGAAAAAGAAAAGGTGCGTTATGTAGGGCCTGATAGCAAACTTAGTTACAATCACTACTGCTTGACCCAACATGTTCATTGTCTTTTGTGATGGAGTGTGAGACTTGGGTTAATTTATTAGTGTAGAACCCTTACTTTCTCTCTCAAAACCAAAAAAAAAAAAAAGCATTGCTATTTCTAAGAAAGTGTTTATCTTTGCAGAAGGAAGCTCACACACTCGCCAAAGAACCTCACATAGTATTTCTCTTCGGGTATGTGCAATAAGGTGAGTTTATTTAGTGCTGTTGAGAACTTTGACACTTTGTTGAAGAATTCTATCTTCTGTAATGTAATTCCATGTAGTCTGTTGAAAGTCAGTCGATATTCCAGAGGAACATTACAACTCCATCTGTAGGATCAAGAAGATCTCTGAAGATGAAGGCAGCAGGTTCGTCCGAAATGTCAGTTGACTTAAGGCAAATTACATGATGTTATATCCTAGAAAACGGAACCCTTCATCAGCACTTCAGTTAGAACCTCGAATTCTACAGTCCCCTACTTCCTTATTCTTGGTTTCCTTCATTGCATTGATGTAATAGTCTCTTTTTGCACAAACCTTCTTCATCCTCTCCCCTCCCCATATTGCCTCAGACACTGTTTCACAACTGATGTGCCATAATATATTGAATTCAAGTGCATTTCATTATTTTATATACACCTAACAATTGTAGTAATAGGACTGAAATATTGTTCACCCCTGTTTAGTCATCTCATTGAACAGATGCAGTTTCTTTTTGGATTATTTGTGTCTTTGTGTTATTTATATTTATCTGAACTTCCTGACAAACAACTAAGAAAACTCCATTGCCTGTAGTCCACAAGCATTTTTTTTATTGCTAGTGGGGTGGGAGTAAGTCCCCTGTACTGCGGCCACTTCTGGCCTATTGTACCAGCCCCAGATGTTAGGTGAGGGTGATTGTGGAGCAATTGGTGGAATGAAATTTGCAGGAGAAACCAAAGTACTCTGAGAAAACCTGCCCCAGTGCCACTTTGTCCACCACAGATCCCACTTGACGAGACCAGGGATTGAACCCGGGCTGCCACGGTGGGAAGCCAGCAACTAACCGCTTGAGCTATGATGTGGCCACAGTCCACAAGCAAACTATACCAACTGAGTGACGCTTGTGGATAGTGTTTTGTGGATAGAGGGTGTCACATGGTCAGCGCAACAGATCCCAGCGGCCGTTAATCTCAGTTTTCTAGACCGGAGACACTATTTCCTTGAAATAGCTCCTCATTTATCCTCACGAGGCTGAGTGGACCCCATTTCTGGCCCAATACTTCTCAGAAAATCTAGTAGTGGCGGGAATCGAACTCTGGAGATCTGGATCTGTAGCCAGGAACTCTGACCACTAGACCACAGATTAATTTTAATCATCTTGTGTTTTCAGTTAGTAATCAGTCCAAAATTTGTTTTGTCTGATATTTTTTTTATGAATTGTACTGCATGGTACAAAAAATCATGGAAATGAACAACAAAATGAAATGTTAACAAAANAACGTATCGCCTCCATCTTCAGGGAGGCGATACGTTCCTCCAAAACGTCGGTTAACACCACATATACATGGTGCCAAATCCCAGAAGACTGCTTTCTTCATAGTCACTGCCGTGAAAGCCTCAAATCTTACAATGTCAACATAGTTTATATATTTATAAACATGTAATTTCACAATAATAATTATGATATTGAACTGTATTCTGGTGTGCCATGCATGGTGAAGTTTTAAGAATACTGTGATGTATAATGTGTTCTAAGTGCCATCTGCTGATTGTGACATGAAATGCAAGAAATGCTAAACACTGCCACATTGGAGATTTGTAAGCACTGGTTTGAATAACTTAGAACTTGTGTTTCTTTGTTTCAGGATGTCACCTGTATGAGATGATGATTGCTACTGTTCCTAAGCCATGTGTGGCTCTGTTTAATGTACCCAATACACTTGTTATGCAAACTGATCAGCAGAAATGGTCTTGAGCTGAGTTTCAAATCTTGTGATAGTTGTTGCATGTTTATCGTGTCACCATTCCTGGCCTTTACATTATTTTAATCATTTTTGTAATATGATGCTACAAATTGTGTGTCAGGCAGTATATAGTAACTTAAAATTTGAAATACAGGATTGCATCATGTCATCGTAATAAACCTTGGGTACAAAATTGTATGAGCCTTTCATGCAAATATGTACATACAAAATGTGAACCATGTGAATGAAAGCGTGGTTGTAATTAAGCTACGATAAATATTTTATACATATATATATTTCATTTTTGCACATGGAGTCAAGCATTCTCAAACGTTTTACTGCCATACCCCCCACCCATAAATTTATGCAGCACTCCCATCTGTACCATCAAGGGAAAGTGTAGTTCTCTACAATGTTGCAGTTTCATATCGGGCATTACAGTGACAGCAGAAACCCAAATAGCGCCAACAGTAAGCTGTGAGATGTTCTGTATAGTCAGTGAAACTGAAGTGTTTAATGGCTGCAACTGTATTTTCCAAAAGTACCACCTGCTGAATCATAATGACTGACAGACTAGTGAAGTGTGTGGATGCAGCCATATTAAAATAATTCTTGAGAACTCAGTAATCCACAGTTTGAGAAACCATGAGGTAAATTAATTATTTGATTATAATATGCCTTTTATTTGATATCTTAATTTCTGTTGGCTGTCTACACAAGGTGTTTATGTTGCCTCGTTTTTTTCCCCCTAAAGTTTCTCCTCTGTGTAGTATATCCATATGCTTCATGTGTTCATTAGCTTTCCTTCTTCTTAGTTTTCTGTTTCCGGTTCATAGCAACATTTGTCAAAAACTGCTAATTTTATTAAAAATGGAAATTATTATTTCTTTGAATTCATTTACCTACATTTTTTAAATGTGTGATCATTTTCAGTAAGGTGGCAGCATTGTCCTGTCCATATAAAATTCAAGGTTTATGTCACTAGTAACTTGGGAAAAGGGTTTTGATGAAATTCTTCAAAAAGTGCCAGTTTCATATTAGATAAACCGGTTGGTGTAACAGTACATCAGTTGAACACGTAACTTAATTGCTTCGACTAGATGAGTGCTAGTATTGTTACATAATTGTAATGCCTTTGTGTGACTCCATTTGAATATGGATTGCCCATCCCCACAGCCTGACTTAGTACACAATATAAATGTCATTTTCTTTCGTAGTCTTATGGTACTTTTTTGTGGGATTTCTGTTTTTGGGAAATATTTGTGTTTGTCCTCATACAATTGCTCTTACTCTTTTGTGTGCCTTGTACTTCCCAGTCTGTATTGTATTATGATGTATCATAGTGTACCCCTTTTCTGCTTTTAAAGTATGTGATTATTGTTTTCTTTAAGGTGCCTTGAAATTCTCTGTGTTGACTTCCATTTTGGGGCAAGGGTAAACAGTTCTAGAGTATTTTTTTTTTTAAATTTAAATTGAGATCACTTCTCAGGCAAGCTGCCACAGATGTAGCAGGATGTGATTTGTGGGTGCCCTTTGAAAGAAGGGGAGAACAAAGCACTGCTTCCATTCGTGTAAAAGGGATACAAGATGCAATGTGTGATTTTTCATGATGTATCTAGTTAATGTTGAACAGAGTGAACTTTCTCAATTGTCTTACAGGGTTGGAGAGGTGGTATTGACAGTTTACCATGACTGAACACAACTTAGTTTGCATACCAATTGAGCAAAATGAGAATTATGTAAAATCTCCACCAGAAAAGAAATTGTCATAAACGTTTTTAAAAGTATAATTTTTATGTAAAATGTGAATGTACAGGTAAACCTCTGTATATACATTTTTGATCATTGCAAGTTATGGTGAGTGCGCTCACAAACATTTCTACTATTCCTCTATATGAGCCCCCTTAAAAAATTCCGAATAGTACAGCAAAAATAAGTCACTCGTGTAAACAGTATTGCCAGATTATGCTTGCCATAAGCTCAGGTTTGTGTAAGCCATCATTTGAGTTAGACATGTCAAAGCAGTGTCTTCCCATTGCTGTACTTCATGCTAAGTAATACTATTTTGTAAAAGTTCATGCCTAGAAGGAAAAGTGATATGTCACTGGATGTTGGTTTGCCCAGTATTAGAGAATGTCTGGATTCGTATTCACAGCCATTCACGTGACACAGACTTTATGGAATTGAAGCAGAGCAACAGCACACCTACAGGGAGAAAAAATAAATTGTGTCTGAAGGAGAGGGGAGTGTCTCAAAGGAAATTCTGATAAAAGGACTCGAGCATGTTTCAAAATTTGGAAGCTGTTAAACAACAAATTATGGATTTAGACCTGAATGTGGAACGAAGCATGCTAGTTTGCCAAACCCTAGAAAATGGAATTAGCTGCTATTGTAAACTGTGTGAAGGAAAGAAGAAAGTTGCATCTCTTTAATTTATGCTTCACAAATATTTTTCTACAAAGTAGCATATCCATTTTTAACTCGGTTTGTATCCCATTTCTGTAATGAACTTATATTCAGTTTATGTGCTTTTCATTATTCTGTATATTTTTATGTATGTACACAGTTAAAACATATTTTAAAGGCCAAAATTAAGTCTTCTGACAAATGTTGTTAGCCATCATGGATGAATTACAGTTTTTTGTGTTGGTTTTAACTTCAATATATGCTTTTTGGACCTACACTGTACACTAATTGCACATATTAAGCGCACACATATATATATATAGAGGTTTACCTGTATATGTGTTTATTTTTGTTTTCTTTTTCTTTCTTATTTGCCAGATGGGGTGTAAATGTGCATAAAGAGTTGAAGAATATGTTAGGGAAGGAGAATGGGACAAGAACTTCTGATGTGAGGTAAACTGCCTAGAACATCTTTGAAGGTACTTTATAATTTCAGTAGGCAACAGTTTGGAAGAAAGTTCTGTGTTAATGAGTATCTGTGATTTCAGTTCCTTTTATATTTTGAAAATAGAATCTAGTAACTTCTAATGATTGCATAATAACTGTGTCAGTGTTAGATGCCGAGGCGCTTTCGAAGATGTTTTAGACAGTATATTTAAGCTTAAGGTTGCTGTGATGTAATGAAGCAGAAAATTTTGTATCTTTGCTTTGTAGAAGGAAGGTAAAAATAAATGACTGTCCTTCATAAGCGACAGTTCTTGTAATCTGGTTATGTATTTTAGTAGTTTGAGGTGGTGGTAAAGCAAGTTGAATTTGATTTGTTGACTTGCAGCATTTTCTTCGCTCCTTTGAAACTGTTATGCCACGTACTGGGCTGTGTGCTGTTAAGTAGGTACTGAGAAGAACTTTCTCTAGACATCCCACCATCATTATATAATTAATGAATTGAACACAGAAGTGTCCCTTAATTGAACAGGTGCCTTGAATCTTATTCCTCTGAAATATATTTTTCTATAATGAAAATAATTCTGCAAGATTTTAATAATGTATGAGGCATTTGAATACAAATAAGAATGTATTATTGCCTTTGCAACTGCAAGACATCCAACATTTAAGGTGCATATAGTCATGCATAGGGGAATTGTTAGGTGTGTATTAAAGTTGCTCTTTATTGGTCAAGGTTGTCTACTATTTCTTTAAATAACATAAAATTGTTTAGAATTATGGAACATTATGTTTATTTCAAGAAGGAAAGGTGTCATACTGTTACGGGAGAAGATAGTATGTATTCATTTGGAACTCATAGTTTGGAAGCGGTATATTTTTGGTAAGAAAAATGTGTTATACATGAAGTATGGATATTGCTAGTTGACAGGACCTTGGAATATGTTCTGGTTATGCCAACTTATGATAAAATCGGGAATCGTTTGCCACAATAATTAGCAGATGCCCCTTAAGAATAATTATGGTCTCTGCCCCCAGCCTTGCATACAGGGGTATCAGTGGCCGTTTTTCGCAGAAGTGGAGTGGCGAGGGTATGAAACAGAATCTTCCATCACGACCTTAAGCTACTTTTAAGCAGCCTCGCTCACAGTCTTATTTGGCAATCTTTTGTTAAGCAATGGCGCTGCTGTCGTTCGACTAATGCGCTATCCTGCGGCCGGCGCAGGAAGTACGGTTGGAGTTACCATATATGTGCGACGCGTGCTTCCATCTCAAGGCAGAAGTTTAAGTCATACGCGCAGCTGTTTTATAGCGTTGCTAAGGAAAGCAGACTCGAGTGCAACACCACAAACAAACAGAGCGTAAGTGAACGTGGTTAGATTTTTCATCTTTTGTAGTTGAATTGTGTAGTGAAACCCGCGATGTTTGTGGTTGACTTTTCTATACAGTGACTTTTGTGTCAGGAAAACTGTGGCAGCAGTGTCGCAAATTATTTTGTTAAACTTGAATTCCATTTAATTGTATTCAAGAAATGGACGAAGAAGATGCCGGTGGCGGAGTCTTGAAATCACCAATCAGACGCCTGGGGTCTACAAGAAAGCTGCTCATCTTCAATAGTAAGCGGAGTGAATTAATTAATGAATTATAACCACCGTACACATTATTCACCTTTTACGTGGTGTTAATTAATAGTAGGGGGATAAACTTGTTTTGTGAAGTTGATTAGTCGTTTCATTTGATGTTTACGTATAGCTGCAACAATGATGCCTTGTATCGTACTAACAATGGAATCGATATATAACAGTGTGATATTTAAGAACTCCATGTTATTTGGTATATTCTGTTCAGCAAGTGATGAAGAAATTTAAATTAAAGATTTTTTTTTTATTTAGGCAAACTTTCTCACGGGGAGCCCTGTCTTATGGGATATAACGCCGTGTGGTCCGTTGAAAGTCTGTATGCAAAGCAAAATATTTGTATCTTGCTTTGCTTATTTTTCGACCATGAAGTTGGAGGTGACAGGTTTTTTTTTCCGAAACGTCGATTGACTTTCAACGGACAACACGGCGTTATGCCTCAGAAGACAGGACGCTTCTTAACCACCCCTGTGAGAACCTCAAATCCAACATTTTTTCATATTTTCTAAATGCCATCTTATTAGTATCGAATGAAGACTGTATTGTGCTTTACTCTAAAAGTAGTGGTTTAATGTGTTTCGCATGTAAGCTGTGGTAAATTTCTTGAAATGGACACATATCTGAATGGTATAATTCTGTACGATATTCCAGTTTACTTTGAGCTATAAAGAATTCATTTACGCGTAAATAATGTACTCGCAGTAAATTTGAGCTGGTAGCTGTCGTCTGGATGATGTATCCAGGCTTATGTTGCCAACCACCTTCCCCCTGGATAGAGTACATACACTGAACGTTGAAAAGGGGGCGCCGAGGGGAGAGATCTCGCGTCTTTATCCATTTTCTATTTCGAGTAGCAGTAATATGGAGTTTCTGCTGTAGACCGCTGTTTGTACACTGCACGCATACTCAACATGTGAATAATACACAGGCCCTGAAGGAAGATTTCGGACTATAAAATGTAGTAATGTATATTTTCACGTGTAACATTGTTACTTCAATGCGCTAAGGGTGCTGGTATGGTAGACTATACTACACGTGACTCCTCAGGGTCTAACGTTTATTGTGAACAGTTTTCTACTAAGTAATGTCTTCAGGGCCGGTCACAGTAGCCGAGCGGTCTAAGGCATGCACTGTCTCCGCTCCTTCAGAAGCTGGGATCGTTGGTTCGAAGCCCACTCAGGGCATGGATGTTTGTGTGCTTTTTTCTGTGTTTGTGTACAGGTAGAGGCCTTGCGACGAGCTGATCACCCGCCCAAGGAGTCCTACCGTATGTCCAAGATCTAGAAAAACCGAAGTGAACAGAGAAGTTCATGGAGGTAGGCCTAGGCCCACTGGGGCTGTAGTGCCAAGGAAAAAAAAAATTCTTCTGGATTTTGTTTATTTTTTACTGACTTTCTAATAGAGATTATGACCGAATAAGTAATAGAGGTTAAAGGCGGATAGAGGGTGTCGCATGGTCAGGGCAACGGATCCCCATGGCCGTTAATCTCGGTTTTATAGACCGGACTTTCAGCTGCAACCCACGAATTAAATGTTTCCGGAAACGCGTATCAATGTTGATATTATATTTTATGTTGGTATGTGGAGCTCGTGCCCAAAGTTTATCCACACTCTGTATATCTGGTCGTATTTTTTTAATAATTTCCATGCATAATATAGGTATCTGGTTTATGGAACACATTATAGCATAAACGTATGCGTTGTCTGTTATGTTAGTCCTTTGCTCAGAAGGACAATGCGAGGGTTCAGAAAGATGGGTGAACCGCCGGTGGGTGGGGTGGGGGGACAGTTGCTGCATCTGTAGAAACCGGTGGGGCCTCCGCGTCTGATGCAGTGCTGCGGGGGGGGGGGAGTCGTGTATGCATGTCTACTTCTGCTCTCAGCATGAAGCAGCATATTCCAGACTGCACGGTGTCATAAACCAGAATATTATAACATGTATCTTCAGTGTCATGAAAACCACAAATATCATTTGTATATGTCTTCATATCAAAGTATGATGTTGCATTGATGTATCAAACTCCGTGGACTGTAGTCCGCAAGCGAACTATACCGACCGAGCGACCGCCGCTTGTCAGCGAAGTTAGTGCCAACTTTTGAGGATAGAGGGTGTCACGTGGTCAGCGCAACGGATCTCCACGACTGTTAATCTCGGTTTTCTAGACCGCAGCCGCTATTTCCTTGAAATGGCTTTTCAGTCATTCTCATGAGGCTAAGTGGACCCCGTTCCAGATCCACTACTTCTCAGAAAAACTGGTAGCGCCTGGAATCAAACCCGGGACCTCACTTACTCATCCATCTCCCTCTTTAACGCAATTTAGAAATGTTCACAATCTCTCTTTAATTTAAAATAACATAAAAATTACATCAGTTTCTCCTTGTTACTTCGCCATCTTCACGCAACTGTTCACTTTTGAAAACTGTCGCAGTGCACTAAGATTTTAATGTATTTCCATGCTATTGCATTAGCGTTGTTCATAGTATAATACGTTTGTCCAAAAATAAAACGGTTTCTCCGTTCTTATTCCCAAACGTATTTTAGTCTAAACAACGATATAGATTAGCATGGAAATATATTAACTCAACATTTAGTGAGTGCAGTGCAGCGGTTTTCAGAAAGTGAACAGTTTCCTGAAGATGGCCAAGTAAGGTCGAAATATGTAGCAGTTGATATGATTTGAATGCTATTTAAATGAAATAGAGATTCTGAACATTGTTAAGTTTCATTAAAGACGGAGGTGAATGATATCAAGTATTCTTGAAGGATGTAGACGAAATTTGGTACTTGCTTTCTACACTGGGGTTCCCATTTCATTTTTCTCCGCTTTCCACTGTTGCTTCTCCCACTGGGGGAGGGGTGCGATATCACGGACTAGGCGGTACATTATCGCATCCCCAGTCTTTCATATTCGGATTTCGTCTCTGATTCGTCACGTGACTAGTCACGGAGTGAGGATTTTGGTTCTTGCCCCCTATAATCTTTGCTTTACACGAAGCTCTAATCACACCGTGAGTTCATATATACAAACGGTGTATTGAAAGAAGTGCATTTATGACATAGAATTAGCTTGATATCCCTGTGGAGAGACTGTTAAGGGCAATTGGGGGGAGGGGTAAATTTATTTCTCTCTGGGGCGATATTGGGTTATTTCGAAAGAAAAAAAGAACTGCAAGAGAGCGAAGCTTCCTGTCTCTTCCTGTCGAGCAAGTTTTCATAGATACATACTCTGAACCGTTAGCTTATTTGGGGATTCCCCTGCAGTGTAACATCTCAGGAGTCGTTGATTTATCTTTGACAGTGTATCTGTGTGCATACTTTGCTGTGTCACGTGCTGTATCACAGGTTGTACCAGCTGACATGCGCAAATTATCATCACGCACCAACCTATCGTGTTACTTGTCCTGATGTGTAGTCGTTCAGCCCATAAGGAAGCAACTTTGAGCGTTTAGATAAACAAATTGAGAATGTGTTGAGTTCGCATCACCTCATACACTTGCCAGAACGTACCGCAGATCACAAGATTCAACACCGCCAGTAGCAGATCGTACCACTGGACACGATCCTGAGCCAGTTCCATCCACCTCCCATCCTCAACCCATTTCCCTAAGATCCATCTTACTAACTAACTCTCTGGTAGCAGAACCCGAAGGTTCAACACCGCTAGTACCAAAGCCTGCCAATGGAGA